GGGGGGGTCTCTAACCCCCCGCCCCCCCCTCAGTGTACCACTGGGTGGAGATGAGGACCAAGATGCGGCTGCTGGGGTTCCGGGGGGCGGCGGTGAAGCCCCTGAACGAGGAGGCGGCGGCCGAGCTGGGGGCAGAGCTGCTGGGGGAGGCGCTGGTCTTCGGGGTCGGGGGGCTCTGCCTCTACCTCGAGTACCTGCGGCAGGCGGGGCAGAGCCGGCGGCGCGAGGAGCACCTGGAGCAGACCCTGAGCGACCTGCGCCGGGACATCGAGGGGCTCCAGAGGGACCTGGACGAGCTCAGGGGACACGGGGGGCAGGGGCGGCCCCCCCAGGGGCAGGGACACGCCCAGAAAGGGGAGGGACACCCCCAGAAGGAGGAGGGACACGCCCAGGGAGGGGCCGGACACGCCCAGGGAGGGGCCGGACACGCCCAGGGAGGGGCCGGACGCCCCCAGACTGGTGCTGGGAATGGGGTGCCCGTCGACGGCCACGCCCCCGTGGTGACAAGCCACGCCCCCGTGGCCTCTGGCCACGCCCCCATAAGTTCAGGCCACGCCCCCTGACAATAAAGTGCCCTCGTGATGTGTTTGGGTGTGGTGAAGGGGCGGGGCTTAAGGGAGAGCTGGGCGGGGCTACTGCTTGGGGGCGGGGTCTGGAGCAGGGTGTGGCCGCGGGCGGGGCCCCCCAAGTGACCCCCGTCAGCCCCCGCCTCTCCCCCCTTCCAGGGACCCCCCAAAACCACGAGGGGCCTGTAGAAAACCGTTTATTGGTGCGTGGGGGGGGTGGGACAGGACCCCCAAACCCCCCCAGAATAACCAAAAATAAAGGTGAAAACCCCAAAAAGTGGCTTTTAAAAAAGACCCCGGGCGGGGGGAGGGGGGGAAAGGAGGGGCTCCCCCCCCCCTCCCCTTCAAGTGTAAAAAATAAAAAGGGTCTCGGGTTGGGATGGGGGGGGCACAGTGTGGGGGGGAGGGGCTGCCGCGCCCCTCCCCCCTCGGTAAGGCACAGCCTGGGGGGTCCGGCCCGGAGCCCCCCCAGGGTGGTGAGGGGGTGAAATGG